TTGTTATTGCCGTTGTGGTTGTTGTTGCTGTTGTTTCTGTTGTTGCTGTTGCTGTTGTTGCAGCCTGGCAGCCATCGTTACTATATCTTGTAAATATCTGGCGTTCAACTCGTTTGTAAACTATTAATTTTGTACAACATCCTGCAACTCAATGTGGCCTTCGGGTTGAACAGTAAAAACAAGTTAAAGGCAACTTTTCAAATTGCCAATTGCATTTCATGCATTATAACTGAAATAATTAAAGATATATTTACATATCTAACTATTTTAAGCTCTGCAAAAATAAAAAGCTGGTAGAAATTAAATGAGTTTTTCAATTAATTCCAAAATATTAATATAGAATTCATTTTGATAACTTTCCTGATCGAATAATAAAATTCTAAAAAGTTGTGTCCTTACTTGTTTATAGACTTGTGAGCTTTTTATTATAATTTAAATATAAATTGGAGTGCAGGCTCTGTTAACTGGTTCTTTCACATATTATTTCGTAATTAACCAAATTGTTGCAGCAGCTTGTTTCAAATTATAGTTATGTGTATTTGTTGAAGACGCTGCTTGATTCGTCAAAATACAAGTGGGCACCCACAAAATATTGCTGAAATTGTTGGTGATTTTCATTTTATAAATAAAGCCCCACTAATTAGGGTGCAGTCGGGCGACTGCGATTGTCCCTCGACCGCCGGCATTCGCAGCGCGCTTCACAAATTTATTAAATTGACAATTTGTGGCTGCGTTGGGGATGGGTATGTGGTAGCAACAGTGGGGGCGGGGGGCAGAGAGAGGAGTGGCCTGTGGCATCTAATAAGCATTTGACATTTCATAAGTTTGCACAAGTCTATGCATATGCTATAGATGCGTTTAGCTTTCAATTTGTGGGCGGACGACGAGATGACAAAGATCTTTGATGATCTGCTACGAAATTGCTTGGAACGACGCCAGTTTTGGTCTTGTCAATTAGAGAAATGCACACAGAAACTTCAGAAGACTGCATGCGATATTTAAACATGCATCTGTATTTGTTATTTATCTATTATATGCTTGTTTACCTAAACCTGTACCTTTACTTGTTATTTATCCATCAAATTCTTGTTTCACACAGAACACAGACACAGAAGGCGATTCGCCTGACCATCTCTCTCGTGCCGATCCCAATTTGGTCTTTATTTTAAAATGGTGGTTAAAGCAAAGCAAAAAGAGCTTGACGTGAGTGTAACGATTAACGTTGCTGTTGCGATTCTTGTTGTTGCACTTCGTGTTGTTATCCAGTCGCCCCTTCTGATTGCAGCAGCAACATGCACACAAATTTGCATAATGGTTAACATGCTGTTATTGTAATTGTTGTGCTGCTGTTTTATTTTATACCCTTAACCAATTTAAAATGCCTTAAAAGGGTATAATGAAGTGATGCGATGATATGCAACAGGCAAAAGAAAGCATATACGACTCCATATGGAGTATATATTCTTGATCAGCATCCACAGTCGAGTCGATTCGACCATATCTGTCTGTCCGTCTGTATGAAGAAGACTATATAACATGGGCAGATCAAGTCGATCGATAAATGCCCAAGTTTCGCGAATATCGATAAGATATAGACTTCCAATTGATATATAATACAGCTTCTCATGATGTTGATCAACCGTAAAAATAATATCGAATGCGAAACGCAGATTTTGTTAACCAAAAGAATATTTGCATCTTAAACCAACTGCTATAAGCAAGGTTATTTGAAAGGGTATCTTCTAGTCGAGCTGTCTCCTTTTATATTTTGTGCTCTTGTTCCTGCGACTGGATTTTAATCGGCGCCTATTCTTGGCTCAGTAAAATACAGTTGTAACCTCGCCTCCTTCCGTTTTTTCCTTGCCCCTTAAGCAATTCGGTTAATAATTAGCATTTGAGCCACTTGGCAACTGAGGCCATTTTATTACCTGTTCTCAAGTGCCATTCTTTTTATATATATATTTTGTAAAATAAATATATATAATAAACACATTTCCCGTTGAAAATTAAGTTGTAAGCGATAAAGACTAAATACAAGCTACAAGGGACATTTGATTTTTTAATTGGCCTCTAAGATTGTCAAGTCCAGAAGTACGTTGACTTCTTACTCGCACACAAACAAACTGCTTTGAATATATATATTATTTTAAAGAGTATTGTGGTCTTGCTGGTTGCGGGTAAATGCATATATACAAAATATATTGATAAATACTCAACATGTACTCAAGCTGTACAAATAATATCGAATACATTTTTAAGACTTGTTGTGGAAAATAAATAAAATTTTTTATACAAAAAGAAATTCAAGAAGAATTTTGTATTTTTCAAATTATTTTCAGTCATTACGTACAATTCTGTTGATTTCTTAAAATCTGCAATGTTTGACTGCAATTCGTTTTTACAATTTAATGAGAGAAATTGAATTCTCGTGTTTTTCAAAAACAACTGCTAAAAAGTACAATAATCGCACTTCATTCCAAGAGTAAACATGACTATGACTATTCATGAGTACTCGAACGAGCTCTCGCACATCCTCAAACTTATAGCTGGGTGCATTTAACATCAGATGATAGAATCTAATTAAACCTCATCGATGCATAAAAGCAGATACATAAATGAGATACACAGATACACACAAGCTTAATAGGTATATAAGGCAGACACTCCCTAATGCATGCAGCACTTACATATATATATGCAAATGCAAATGTATCTGAGAATTCACGCATGTATCTAAAAATGGCAGTCTGAGTGTGTATTTCGTTGGCTTCATTCATGTTCTTAAATTACCAGACAGAAGAAATTCACATCTTGGCAATTTACTTTGCTACTCGACGCTGCAAGTATTTCTTGCCAATGCCTCCACTTGTTTTCCAGTTTCCATGTTCTTCATGTTGTTGTTGTTGTTGTTGTTGTTAGTTTGGCTGCCATGAGTTACAGATACATAAATAATAATAACAATATGCCCCATTGATTGGACTTGGACGTCATGAAACGAGTTTTGCGCAAATGGAAAATCGCAAAACGTTTTTTTCCCCCTTAATCAATATGTATCCACAATTGTTGTTGCTGTCGTTGTTGCTCTTGTTTGCCGAGTATTTATGAATGCAAGTGCATTTCACTGTGCTTTTCAACGACTCTTTAATTGGCTGACATGTTGTGATTTTCGGTTGGCAGGTACTTGCAGCTTGCACTACGGAATCGCAATTATCAGCTGACAACTGGCAATTATTGATGCTAATGTGGGGTGCAAACGCTATTCTTAAAATTATGAAGTCATTACGTCAGAGGGAGTTAATACATACTCGGAATCAAGGAGAGAGAAACAAACATTGCAGGTTCATTTGAGTTATATCGAATATAGAATCGACATGAAAAATCGTGTAATTCATTTTACTACAAATGTGTGAAGTGTCTTATGAAACATATTTAATTTGGTCTCCCATTTGAATAAATATTTAAGTTAACTGCTTTCTAATGCAATTATAAAGCCGAATTAAGGCGTGGCAAGGTATGCCAACTAGTTGCAATCAGCTATGAACCATTACAGACGCTAATTAGTCAGACAGGCGTTCGATCTATGACAGGCGTTCGATCTATGACAGGTGTTCGATGCAAATTAATCAAAATTACACCAACCACAAATTGATAGAATTTATTAATTATTTTGAGGCAAACAAGAGTCGCACGATCCGTCTGAAGACTGAAATTGATTTGAGTGGCAAGACCCGAGTGACTTATGCACCTGATAAGTGAAGAAAGAAAAATTATTAACTGCAGTCAATAATGTGCTTTGGCCGGGAAGACCGTCGAAGATTTCGTTGTCAATATTCGAGAATGCAGTGGGTACGAGATGCTTACTTACTAGCTGAAGAGGGGCAGTGCTTGGGGTGTTGAAGAAAAATCTCTTTACGCGCCATTGACATGAAGAAAAATCGCTCAACAATTTTTTTCGACTCACAATTTTCGTTGCCGCACAGATACATTTGTATTTGTAGAATGCATAGTTTTTTTTTTCAGCTAGGTAGGCGCAACAATTTTTCATGAAATTTGGAGAATTTAAATATAAACGGACCGAGAGGTGCGAGATCCAAATCAAGTCAAACGCAACTCTGTACATTTAGCTGTATCTGTATCTGTAGCTGTATCTGTATCTGAATTAGGTATTCGCTTTTATGAGTTATTGTGGGAGTCTGTCTGCGTTAGCCGCGGGTGCCGGCTGCCGTCCGTGCCCGTAGTGCTCAGGGGAGGGCGCGCGGGGCAGTCGGCACACGTTTTTGTTTACAATTTCACGCGCTGCGATTTTCGCGGTCGAGTTTTCACGCAGCGCCACAAGAAAAGTGGGAAAGTGTTTGTGTGAGGAATATATTTTGTTATTGTTTATGTATTTTGACAAGTTGCCCCGCGCGCTAACTTTGCCAGACAACTTGGTGCTGGAGACTCTCCGGATTCCCCCTTCCCTCATTGTTCCATTTGCCCCGTTCAATTAAATGAATCAAGTAACTAGACAATGTGCTAAGTTCTAACTTCGATTTGTGAATGGTTAACAGAATATTCAGCACTCCCAGAAATTGATTCACTATTTGGTTAAGCTTGTAGGAAACCCAAATAGATTGATTCGTGAATTGCATCAATCCTTATCGCTTTTGCATATGTTTTCCGGATATGTTTCATAATTACATTTTCAAATAAATATCAAAGAAATGTTTTAGCAAACAAATAAAAATGATTGTCAAATTGTAAACTGCAACAGCAATAAAATATAAATAAATTAGAAAGAATCCATCAAAATTATTGAATTTACTATCCAATATGGTTTAGCTTCTCCAGATTTTGTACGTCTCAGCAAATATAAAATTGTATGAGAGGAATTATGAAATTCTAGTTGCAAGCTCAATGATTTTAGTTAATTCTAATATGCAATTGGCCTCATCAAATGTGTAAGATGAATGATTTTATGATAAATATCTGGGTCTAGATCAGATTGGTTTCCAACTTACTCTGTCCGAGGTGTACTCGCTTCATCCAAGGATATATCTGTGGCGGATTTTTCTTGCCATTGCCGCTGTTCTGACTGCTGCCCGCCTCGTTGCCGCTGTCGCTCTCCGAGTCCGAGTCACCGCCGCCCGGACTGTGCATGGGCACGTTCACGCTAACGTTGCCGGGTCCGGCGCCAGTGCCGCTGCCGCTGTGGTTGTTGTTGAGACTGACGGCGGCGGCAGCGGCGGCCAGGCTGCCACCGAGTACACCTTTGTTGAGGGAGCGCGCAACGCTCTCCACCACCGAGCTGGGCGATAACTTTGGGGAGATGTCACGCGTGGAGAGATCCTGCGGACTGGCCAGCGATTGGTTGTTGTTGTTGTTATTGTTGCTGTTGGCGCTGTTGTTATTGTTGTTGTTGTTGTTGTTGCTACTGCCAACGGGCGTCGACGGATCGTTGGCGTATTTACAGCTGATGTTCGCCTGCTGCTGCTGTTGCTGTTGCGGGTGTGGTTGCTGCTGCTGCGGCAACTGTTGCTGCTGCTGCTGGGCAACACCGGCGGCCGCTGCATGTGCATGTTGCTGCTGCTGTTGCTGTTGTTGCTGCTGCTGTTGCTGCTGCTGTTGCAACAGCAATCGTTGCGGCTGCAGCTGTGTGTAGTCCACCATATCAGGATTGGCCTGTCCACCAACTGGCGCCCCACCACCGCCACCTAGGCCGTAGGCCGCCTGGTTGGCATAGTGCGCCTGCGGTGTGTTTGGGTACAAGTTGGGCGTGTAGGCGGCCGCCGCTGGAAAGTAATCGTTGCTGCCCGGCGTCGCCGCTCCAGAGTTGCCCTGGCCGCCATTCGTGCCGCCCGCACCACCATTGCCATTTGCTGCGCTGGCATTGGCACCCGGATGACTCTGCTGCGGATTCATTTGCTGCGGATAGCAGGACGCCAGCGAGTTGACAAACTGGTACGAAGACATGGCAAAGCAGTCGGGATCCATGTTGTGGCCGCTACGCTAATATGTATCTGTATCTGAAACGAAATGATGCGGTTACAATCGCAGTTGTATTCAACAACAGTCAAGCTAAATGATGCATACATCATTCAGCAGATAAGAAATGGCTCTAGGTGTAGTTCACTAATCCCCGCCCAGCACAGATCATATTGCCCGATCTCGTCTGCGGCTCAGAGAGCTGCTGGGCTCAGTCTGATTATATATTTGCAATAGCTACAGATAAAAGAGGACCTTTTTGCATAATCTTCAAATTATCTGGCATTGAATTAAGTTGAACACATCTACATATTCATTTTAAAGCACAGTGGTTCAATGTGTGGGCAAAAACTGAAGGAGAGACGTTCTCTAAAGATCGCCTCAATATAATTTTTGTTCTTTTTAGTATCCTCCAAATATTGCATTTGAATATGCTTTTAAATGTTGTCCAGGCGATTATCGGCCTGTAAATGGACCACATATTAAAAATCCTTCTGATTGGCTTTAAATAGAACCAGAAGAAATTTTAGTTTTTCTTGCTTACAAGCATTTTGGGTCACTTTGAAGTTCAATTTACAAGCATTAACTTTATTTGAGTATGATTATATAATAAAATACTTTTCATTATATGTTATTCGCTTATTGGTCTAAACTATGAGTTTAATATTGTCAGATTATTATTATGTACTGCTAAGCAATAAGAAAAAGAAGTATTATCATTTTAATTTAATAAACATTATTATATATTCTCGAGTACTTCAAGAATTTGCCGTCTTTCTTTTTTTTTAAATTTTTGTTGTTGTTGTTAATGTTCAATTGGTAAAAGAGTTTAATTTTTCTACTGCGCATCATCATTTACTCAATTATTTTTGAGCGGCTTAGAATGCAATTTTGGTTTGCCAAAACCACTGTTTGAATTTCACTTGTGCCGATGGGCAAGCGCGGATATGGCTAAGCATCGGCATTATGTGCAAGTAATTTCAGTGGGCCATACCAGAGCAGCAGGGTGGTGCAAGGAGTAAGGAGCATGGAGCATGGAGCATGGTGCATGGAGCATGGAGCATGAACCGCCCACTCTCGTTGCTGTATGGACACTTGCGGGAATTTGTGGCTGCACTTGTGCGCTGGTATGTCGCCCAAACAAAGGCCGGCTCGGAGTTGGAGACCATCGCTGATACAGCGTTTGTTTGCGTCGAGGAAAACTTGTATTTTGAAGATAGCAGCAAAAGCAGCCACGATTGCAAGTTTTTTTTTGTTATTTTTTGTTTTTTTTTTTTTTGTATGCGAAACAACAACTTGGCCTGGCCCCAAAATAGCCCCAAAGGCGAAAAGTGTAAAGCGCAATGGCAGAGACCGGACCAGGTTGTTGGACCAGGCCAGGCAATGAGGAAGCCAATGCCAAATCAACACAGCACATGAACATGGCCGAAAAAAAAAATAAGAAGCGAATAGAGAAGAGAGAAGAGAAGAGAAGAGAAGAGTTGCCCAAAAACAATACATCGACCTCTGCAAATATTTTGCACTCTTATTTTACTTGCTTCGTCGTCTTCTCGGCGTTCTTGTTATTCTTCTGCTTATTTGGCGAATGAAACCAATAATTTTGATTCAGTGGGCAATTTAACCCTTTAGCGTGCTCAAATGAAAGGAGTTGAAGCTTTAAATTAAATCGGCGTACGGGCCACGGCCTAAACTCCGTCTCTGGCCCTGGTTCTGGTCCTATCCCTGTCCCTGTCCCTTTCCCAATCCCTCTTCCATTGCTCGACCTATCTTCGCTTGGCGGGTTGGCAGAAAAACTGGCCAAAAAGTGGACGGGCCAAAAGGTGCTGCCAGTGGCAATGGTATGGGCCAAGGCTCGACAGAGATTTATTTGATTAGCAGTATTCCTGCAAACGATGTAAACTCAACTCGACCATGGCTATTGCCGATTATAAGGTTTAAAGCAATGCAATTGTAACGGCATTTCGTTCAAGTTTACGTTATTATTGTAGCCCATGGGCTAAGCTGGGCTAAGCCAAAACGGCTTACAAACAGCTATCGAAATTATACGCTGGGCTTAAACGACCACTGACGTCTTGTAGATATTGGCTAATCGTTTGTGTATAGAATAGGTCAAAAGATCGAGTCCAATTTGGTAGCTGAACCTTAGAGCGAAGCTTCGAGTGATTTAAAGTGATGAGAATGACACTGACATCTGCGAATTACTCAAACGATCAATCCGCAAACAGACTTGGTCTCTTCTATTCTCGACATTAAATTTCAAAACAGAAGTTGCATCTTTAGCCAACAATTAATTGAGTGTGTGTTGACCCAACTGGCGGAGCCTGTTCTTTATATTTACGATCACTTAAGGGCAAATTAAAAATTCAGAAAAAATAAAAAGCGATAAATTATACGAGCTTGGAAATTGTTTTCCAAAGAGTCGAGCGACAAGCGGTTCAATTGGTGTTAATTAAATCCATGAATAATGAAAACGCAAACCAAATTTGCGGGTTCTCTCAGCGCTTTCCAACGGGTATTATTTGTGTATATATAAATACTTATGTACATATATATATATATATATAGATAGTGGATACAAATATTGGTATAGATTGGCGCTGGTCTTCGTCGCTTCGGCGACGGTCGCCTGGCTGATTGTTGCCTCATAAGAAAGCCATAAATTATGGCAATTCTTTGGGCAATGACACTTTCGAGACGAGGGAGCGAACAAGCCGAGCAAAACTGAGCGAGTTTCCCTTGTCTCGGCATATGAGCATTTTCTTTTATTCTCCGCCTCGGGCCTCCTTTGTATAAGCCGTTTTAATATGCCTACAAACGGGAGTGAAATTTCTGTACGGATACTTAAACCGCAGAACGAATTTCCCTTTCCGAATTGTTGTTGGCCAGACATCGGCACAGGTAAATGGTAAATAATGGTGCCATGTAGGATACATAAACGATGGTAGGTCCAAGTAAATAAACAGCAATTGAGTTGCACATGCGCAACTCCAGAGGTTCCCCCAATACCAACTCAGTGTCACCATAAATCAAATTGTACCCAATGCGACAGCTGAAAAGGGTTTCCTATTCCTATGGACACTTTCACGATAACTTCAAGGATAATGGCAGACGTTTTCGAAACCGATCTTATGACTGGGGTTGCGACTTGTAATTAAGATGATTAACTTATGCATAATCGATCTTAAATGCTGCACAGAAGGAAGAAAGTAATCGTTATATTTTTAAATACTTTCTCAACTGAAAATCAAAAATGTCAAGATCAATTTGTTTTCCAGGGTAGCTACAATTCTTTGATCTTCGTACGTTCAATTAAAAAGTAGATTAACAGATATATATATTAATATTAATCAAATTAATTTGTATTACTGAAAGCAACGCTTTGTTATTTAAAAGATGACATCTCCATTTTAATTGCTGATTACTCGTTGGGAATTTATGAAAGCGTTTTGTCTATAAACCAGCGTTGATTAACTTCATTTGTAAGCCGCCCAAATCAACTAAAAATCTAACAAGCTTTTTTTTCTAAACTATAAACGTCTGCCTTCCATTTCTAAGCAGTTATCAGGCGTTGGCGACATCATCAGCATCACCATCAACATATGCGGTCTAACCATATCCGAACCTTCTCATAATTATAGTTATGAAATGAGCAAAACCCTTCGCAATTATTACTTTTACAAATGTCGCCCATTGTCTACGCTGATGGGCGTGGCGCGTATATATGTAAACATAACATGCCCGAGACGAGTTGAGGTCGAACTCGCACAATTCTTTAAGGTATTTGCGCACGAGCAGTCACACTCAAGGCATGCCTCTCTGTCTCTCTCTCTCTCTCTCTCTCTCTCTTAATGGCCGTCTCTGTCGCACTGCGCCAAAAAGAAACGACAAACGAATACGAATACGAATACGAATGCAAGTGAGCCCATTAAAAACTCATAAAAATTTGTAAGCACCTCATAAAAGTAGTCATAAATATTATTATTTGTTTTTTTTTTTTTTTTTCTGTTCTCCATTCTTTCTCTCTGTGTATATCTATCTCGCTCACTCACACACATGCTTAGCGGCTATTGTTGCTGCTACAGTTGCTCGCCTCAACCCTCGTCTGTGTTTTGTTTGCGGTTGCGTCTCTCATAATTTTTATGAGTTTTTGATTTGTTTTCTCGACTTGTTGTCGATCCTTACTGCAAGCCGCCATTGTTGACCTTTTGACACGTACTCAAAAGTGCTCGACACGACACTCGACGTGTTTGCGGTTCGCCTTTTGTGTCCTTACCATTTAATTTTCACACATAATTTACGATCTGTTACGTAATGGCTGTATCTCTGTATCTCTCCCAAAATATAATGACCTCTGCCCAAGACCGAAGGACATCGCAATTGTGCAACATGTTTTTGGTTTAGCTACTGTTTTTTTTGTTGCCATTATAAAGATCTTACTTTTGATATCTGCCTCTCTCTATATATTTTCCTAGTCGATTATTTATTATTTTTATACAGCTCTTATTACTTAACTAGACCGTTTGATTTATCCGATGCTTAGCTATATTTATTTAAGTGTTAGCTAACATTAAATAATTGCTCGCCGAGTGAAGTATTTGAAACATGATTTGTTGCACATGTGAAAGCAAACATCATCGCTTTGAATATGCACAGAAATATAAATCACCTATTTGCCATCAAGGTGCACGGCACAGAAATCAGCGCTGGCAGAGGCAAGGATGAAAAGTAGACGTCTGCCTCTGTTGCCGTTGCCATTTGCCGGGCTCGTCAACAATAAATGTGTCCCGGCACTTATTGTACCTACACATTCAAATGCAAAGTTGGGCAAATGGCTGCCGTCGCCCCAATAGATCAACGGCTCCCCAACAATACTATATTGTTGTTGTAGTTGTTGCAGTTGCTGTTGTTGTTGTTATTGTTATGGCTGTTGTCGCGGCAAAGTTTGCGTGTTTCATAAATTTTGTTTTGTTTTTTTCTTTTGTTGTTGTTGTTGTTTCCTTTGGTATTTTGATTTATAAATATAAATAAGTCAAGCTGAAATATCATCATGATATTTTAGCCCGTGCTTGTGTCTTGGCCCGCTCCCGCTGCCGCTCCCAGTCGCAGTCGCAGTCCCAATCCTAGTCCATGTCTCAGTCCCAGTGCCAGTCGTATATAGGATGATGAATGTGTGCCTCAGGCGCAGCCCAAATGCGAATGTTGATGGCATAAATTCAAGCTGCTGACAAGCCAAACAAAAACTGCAGCGCATCTAAACCACACTTGGAATCGGTCAAACAGAGTGTGTGTCTGTGTCTGTGTCTGTGTGCACGACTAGGAGGCCAATTAGCTCAACGGGTAGCAGCAGCAGCAGCAGCAGCAGTATTTGTGTTGTGTCCACATTATGCAATTGCCCATTGAGGGCTCTTTGATCAGAGTCGACCACCCTGCGAGAGGGCGCATGCAAATGAAAGTGACCTACATCAAGTGGCAATACGATTTACACACTCTCACTAGTCCACTGCCATGTGTGCCCGATCCTAAGGAGGTATCTGGAGAGTGAGAGCGAGGGATAAAGACAGTAAGATGTGCACATGCAGCGAAGTTAGCCTAGGCGCACCATGGGCGCCAGTCGCTGCCCACACTGTGAAAAATAAACCATAGTTTTAGGTAAGTCGCCCTGAAATTCAGATTTATTTGTTTTGTATTTTAGAAACTATTTCAAAGTTCAAAGTTTAAGAAGTACTTAGATTTTGAAAGATATAATTTCAGTCAAAAAATCCAAGTTCTTAGAAAATATAAATCGCCTTGAGCAGCAGATATACATATATATATATATTTTCAACTATTTCAAAGTTCAAAATATTTGAATTATATGTTTTTGTTTTTAAATATATCTGTTAAAACTGTCTTCAAACTTTTCATGTAATTGTTTTGGAAAGGTTGCCAAAGATATTTAATTTTTAATGCCGCATTATGTTTGATTATGTCTATATGAAATCCCTGTTCTATAGCATTTAAATTGATGATAAAAATAATACATTAAAAAAAAAAAAATAATAAAATGGCAAAGAAGAAATTCTTCACCTTACGGAAATACTTGTTTCTTGTATATTGAATTCATAAAAAGAATGAGTATTAAAAAACTCAGTTTCTATGTAATAAATAGACTTATTTTTTAGCGTCGGAAGAAGATTTTAGGTTATATTTTGCTCTGAGTGTAGTGGCACCTCTTTGAGGGCTCTGCTTGCGCTGTTCCATATGAATGCGTCTCGCCAAGAAGATGGCGATTTGGGCGCAGTTCAGAGTCAGTTTGGCTTAATATATTTTGTGTTTCGGTCTGGTCAGCATGACTTCTCTGTCATGTGATGTGATGGCTCCGACTCCGGCTCCGGCTCCGGGCACTATTGCACGCAATTCTTATGTATAACGCTGTGTTGCCTCCGAAACTATTTACATTTCAAATATATACATGGGCATATTAGTATATGTATAAGGAATGTATTTACTTGTATTTATGTATCAGGCTTTGTAGGTAGATTGTGGCTGCTTGTTAGGCATTTTTCATTCACTGTGACATTTCGCCTTTGTGGCTCTTAATTATTTCAAAACGGCTGCATTCGTTTTAATGAAGTGAAAATTCTTTGCGTTGATATCGCGCACGCAACCCAAAACAAAAACGACAAACTGAAACTGAAACTGAAACTGAAACAAGAACAAAAATGGAACACAGAAGAGCCCGAGCACAGTGGAAGTGCCCAAACACCACAATATTATTTCCAGTCGAATTTAATTGAAGGTTGGCGCTGTGTTTGTCCATTTTATGTAACAACTCAATTCAGAAATTCGATAAATAAGGGGCAATCCATGCGAGAACGAGATGCTTTACAAATGCTTCGAATGCCTTTTAGGTAATCAGAAAAATTAGTATCAAGATACGGTTCGGCATTTAGTGGAATTGTCATGGACCTCAATATAAATTATTTTTTGTATTCGCTTAATTCGAAAACTTAACTTCTTTTCTCTCCTCTAAAGTTTTGCTTACCAGAGTCTGTCTGGATTATTTGATAAAGAATTTCAGCTATTATTTTCAATTGTTGTAATTCTTGGTGAAAAAAGAAATTCGCAAATTGAGAAATGTTCTCGTCACTTAAGCAACTTTTGCAAGATGCAAACCAAACAAAAATTAAAAAATAAAAAATAACACAAATTAAAATTTTAAATTCATCCATAAAACATTTTTAAACAAACATTTCGCAGTTAATATTACCTCTGATATGAAAAAAAAAATAATTTCGCAAGCAATTTTTGCCGTCGGAGTTTTTTTATTTTGCGTATGACAATTGAAAGCGGAGTTTGTTTGTCTTTTGTTCACTTTACAAATGGAGAATAGTTGTTGTTGCCAACTTGGCTTATAAGTCGTTAGCGTTAAGTGCGATCACTTGAAAAAGGCCTCCAGCTAATTGCCATGTGCCATTTGAGCCCGCATCGCGTCAAGTTAATCCGTTTGCAACCCGATTTTAACTGCAGTTTCGCTTGTGTTTACTTTTGCACTTGACATTTGACGGATTTGGAACCGTTATTATCCGCCGTGGGCAGGCAGCAGAGAATCATTCAATTCGTCACAGTTCTAGCTGCTCGAAGAGCGACAATCGATCCCATTGAGAGGCGACGATTCGCGATATATTTGCGAGTGGGTTCACTCCGAATTTATGGTATCCATCAGCGCGAATGTATTTTAAACGTCATCGATGAAAACACTGGCACTGCAAACACTTAGCTGCCCATCCATCTTTCGTTATTATCGCTCAAAGTCAGCGCGGAGCGTTGTGCATTGAAAATATATCTAAATCTGTTGTATCCAGCGGATGCACGCTTTTCTGTTATTGCGTTTTTTTGTTTCTTTTTTTTTTGTTTTTGTTTATTGGCTGGCAGAGAGCCGCACGATTCGCGGAGCGAGCAAGTGCTTTGTCAGATTGACGGATTGTTTAGCCAGGGCCAAAAAAAAAAGTTTTCGGTTTCGGATTCTGTTACTTTTACTGTTTCTGTTTCTGTTTCTGTTTGTGTTTGTGTTTGTGTTTCTGTTTCGATGAGTGTATCCGCGAATACGTGCTCGAAGCGCCAATGTCTCACTTTGACTGCTCGGGCATAATTCAAATATCTGAGCATCAATAAAAAACTCATGCAATGCGCAGCGCCAGCGCCGCCAATTGTAGCTACGAGTACCAAAAGTAAGTAGACTCACACACTCGCACACACACATACACACACACACACACGCACACACATACAGTTATTGCTATGGCAAACACACATTCATCCGAGTGCATTCATTAAACACTCGCGTAAAAAGAAACGAAATTCGAACAAGTTATGCAGGTTAGAGCAGTCCGACAACACTTAATGCGGTTGCCTGCTGTCTCACTTGCACTCACACGAGCTGAACAGCTTTTGTTACCTTTGCGGACACAGAAATTTGTTGCCGCAGACATAAGACCGAGTGTACATGCGTACGTGTGTGTGTGTGTATGTGTGAGTTCGAAAGAGAGCATATTCGAATTGCTTACGCTCTTCGAGTGCGAAAACATTCTATTTCGAATTGCTCACGAATATTCTTATTGATCTCACGTACAGTGTACGTGTGAGAGCTGGGATCGCTGTAAGTAAAGAATATTCGAATTTCGAAATTCGGAAACAAGGTTTGTGTTTATTTATATATAAGTGAGTTTGCGTGCATGTGTGTGTGTGTGTGTCGTGTATCAAAAAAGTTTGATAACAGCAAGAAAGTTGAAATCAGTTATAAAGTTTGAGCAGCCAAACATAAACTGCTTCGAAGGTGTTGAGGGAAAAGTTTGACTATTTCTGAAGTGATTCATTTCAAATAGAAAATTTTGAGTTGACTCATAAGGATTCATAGAATGTGCTGTTTATTGTTGATTTACAAGTACGTTTCTTACTTCGTTTACTTCGTTTGCGATATTTAGAATGACCTTTAATTTGTTGGACCCCTCACAGTGTTCCAAATCCAATCCACAATTTTAAGATATTTCTTTACCAATCCTTACAAATATAATTTCTATGTTTATTTTGCTCATTATTTTCCTCGAGTAATATTGTGTTTTTGTGGCTTACCTATGGGTACAAATAAGTTGATAGCTTCGAATTCCAAACGTTTGTTTTCAGCTTATTTAAGAACTGTATTTAATGTAAGCACTTCACTTAGTGTGTGTATTGTATTTGATAATGATTATTATTATTTTTTTTTAGTACACTTAACAATATTTATGTATTGAATACATTAAAACACTTGGCTCGATTAGTTTACGCAATTCTTGTGACATTCTCAAATTGCAAATACATTTTTAAAGCATTTTACAGCCCATTTGAATTTTTGAGCTTACATATGAAAATTCGATAATCGAATATTGCATATATGTATATATATATATATATATATATCCTTGGGACTGAGTTCCGCTAGGTTATCCGTTATCCGTTGGTGATTGCGGTGAATATTCCTTTAATCGCAATGCACTTTTGCCGTCGATTGAAAGCTCAGTTTGGGGCTGAACCCAGTTGGACATGCAGTGCTTCGCGTAACACGACTATTTTCACTGGTTAAATGGAAGTCAGATTGAAACTTGACCGAGTACCGAGCGCGCAGCTGGCGTACTTGAGTGCGCCACGTTCGATTCACGTTTGACACAGAGCCTTGCGCTGCGCCGACTGTCGCAGTGGGGACCGAGTCCAAGTGAACGTGTGTGTGTGTGTATGTGTGCGTCTGTGTGTGTGTGCGACAGTGTGCGTATTCGAAAACTGTAAATCATTCGGCCTGAACGCAGCGAGTGCGAGCGAGCCGCATGCAGTGTGCGCATGTTCGAAAAGCAGTCGCGCTCGCTTGCACTCGGTTAGGCCACGCCCATCGCTTTGATTTATGTTTCGGGGGTGCTGCATGGCCTGGACCAACCGGCCTATGGCGGAGCAGCGACGGCGGCGGCTCCACGGCAGCCACAGCTGGCAGCTGGCAAACGGCAGAAACGGCACAGAAAACAGGTAGTTGGACGCTGGACGAGGCAGATGATTGCCTGCCACTCAACGTCAACGTCAACTCCAGCGTGCCCCCCTCTCCCCTTTGCCCCTTATCTTTACGCTTTCTCTCTCGCTCTCTCTCTCTCGCTTTCTCTCTCTGTCTCTGTCTCTCTTCGACTCCTGTGTGAGCCCAGCAGAAGCAGCAGCAGCAGCAGCAGCTTTGTTGTTTTTTGTGCTCCAGATTAGGCTGAAATCATCCTAGATTAGTGCGTCCCGCTACCCGGCAAGTTGCCGGCATCCCTATTTGCCCGATTGCCCCACCCGCTGCCAGGCACTTTATTTGTATTCAATCGTGGCGCTGTTCCGCTAAATCACCGTCACATTATTATTTCGCATTATTATTTTATAAACGTTTCGTTCTGTGCGCCATCATTTCCATTTTTATTGGTTGCGTTCGAAATTTTACAGCGCTCTCTGTAAACAAAAAAGTCCAAAGGAGGCAAAAAAATACAAATAAAAAGAACAAGCGACAAATGAGTTTTCTGTTGTTGTCGTTGCTGTTGCTGTTGTTGTTGTTGCTGTTGTTGTTGTTGTTGTTGTTTTTATACCTTGCTCCAAGTCTTGTTTTGTTTGCATCTCTTTAAAATGAGCTCGTTTGCACTCAAGCTATGAATCCGAATCTGAATCGGAATTTAAATTTATTGAGCACATTGTCTGGCGACGTCTTTGGGTTCTTATGATTCATTCGGTTTCGGGTTACGAGGTACGAGTTACGGCAACGGACTTTTGGGCTGGGTTTGGCTTCGACTTTGGCTAAATGCCTTAATTAAAAATCAATTTTGGATGTGCTACCAAATTCCAAGAGAGCAAAACAAGAAATACACAAACGAGTATTTTGTGTATTTCGTGTGATATTTGCATTTGAATCCAGAAAGACAAATTGTCGACGTCAAGTAAAAAACTTAATACCACCATATGTAGATTTATACAAAATATAATTTTTGGCATAGCTCTAATCTTGCCCAATGTGGGCAATTCGTTATTAATTAACATATTTCAAGATATTGGAATATAAATATGATTTGTTTGATTTGTGTTTCTTCTACAATCATTTGTTGCATTTGTGCTTATTTTTAATATGGACAAATTTTGATCATTTAAGTATTTGAGTTATTATATTTATTAATTTTAATTATTTCCCAAAATTTCTATAAATACTATCCAATAATATATACTTGACAAGAAATTAATTAGTATTTGAGATGAGAGTTTGACACAAATTTTGTACAGCATTTGCATATTTTAAGCGAGTATTTAAATTCAGCAAATCATGCTTGATTAAGTTGGATACGAATTAAATCTTTGCTCTCAAAAACACTTCAATAAAGCATACAAATTACTACACGTACTATACAATAAAATGATTAATTTCTGTAGTTTGATTATTATGAAATGGAATTAATATTTAAATTAATTTATAATAATAATATAGCATTATTACATGTAAAAATTTAGCAATCTGAAAGAATCATCCGCAAATTTGATTTGCCCATAAATTATTCAGCTTAAGATAAATGTATACCAAATATATACAATTCCCTCATAATTTTTAATTAAATTGTTTATTTATCATCATGAAAAGCAGTATTATAAAATGTATTTGTTGCGTTGTCAGTGCATTTAGTTGCTTTCCAGATGGCTACCCATTCCTTAACGACATGCAACCGTTTCGTTTTGTTTGCTAGTGTTTAATATATATTTTTTTCAAAGTCCGCACGACATGAGGGAACCCATATTAAAAATGAAAAAAAAAAAGAAAATGAAAAGAGAAAAAAAGCAATATGGAGTAGGGGGGGTAACCTAGGAATCATAAGAGAGACGCCTGCGTGTACTTTTGTAATTGGAGTTGATGTCGGAGCTGCCAGCGGGCAGTAAAAATGCTCAGCCCGAGCTGAAGCCGGCATCGGAGAAGTAGATGGAAATGGAGTCGCATTCCCTCTGCCTCAGAGCAGCATCCAACATGTTGCAGTCGATTTTTCATCATCGCTCGCATGTTGTTAATATTGATGTTGTTGCTGTTGCTGCTGCAGTTGTTGTTGTTGCTGCAGTTGCTGTTGTTGTTGCTGTTGTTGTTGCTGTTACACACACGCTTTTAATATGAAACAATCAGCAGCGCTTGTAGTTTTGTTTTTTGCCTGCTGCACTGCAACAAAACCTAGATGAATTTTCACATTAAATGTGGGCATAGAACTTGTGCAACTGTGCAACTTGCAACGCTGCAACGGAACTGCAGCAGTTTTCAATTAAACGTAGTGCCATCGACATAAGAAAAATGTTCAATAACACACACCATACGGAACTGGAGGGCGGGGCGGGGCGGGGCGCGGCATCGATGGATACAGGGGGCAGCGTCCAGCGGACTGCGGGCAGCAGCAACTCACGACAGTTCGTTAATACCTTGCCATTTGAGTTCTTCACGCACTGCAGCTTGAAAAGGAGCTTAAGGGGGTTGGTGCTGAGGGGAGGGGAGGGGGGGAGGAGCAACTGTAGCTGTTACTGGCAGTTGATAAATATGCGCCATTTAGGACAAACACACACACACAACGCAGCAACTTGCAGCTACTTAGAGGGGCAGCGATAAATGGAATAAGACAAATCTGGAGCACATACTATATACCCCATCATTGCTAAATGGAGTAGCTGCAGCATTGAGGAATGCATTTACATCAAAAGCCAATTTAAATTAATTTCCAACCTTTTTTCTGTTTTTAGTCCGGAGAGTTGAAGTCAGTGTCAGTGTCAGCATCCGAGTCATCGTCATCGTCATCGTCAGTGTCAGTGTCAGAGTCAGTGTCAGTGTCACTGTCCATCCACATTTGATTATGATAAACGCGTCTCAGCTGTCAGGCGATGAGCTACTTAGCCGCCAAGATGGCGTTCGCTGATGGAGCTCAAACTGAGAGGCCATTAGGCGCAGTTGTTGCTGTCGTTGCAAGGACAACAGCTGAGCTAAAGCGACACG